TGTCTCATAAACATTTCTCTAAGTACCAATACCAGGTTCTCCTGGGGAGGAGGGCAGAGCTATTTTTTCAGTAGGCCACATCTTTTTTCAGTGGTAGCGTCCTGTCTTTGGCTGGGATGGAGTTAATTATCTTCGTGATAGCTGGTGCAGGGCTGAGTTTTGGATTTCATATGAGAATAAAGTTGGTAAGAGACCAATGTTATGTTTGTTGCTGAGCAGTGCTTACTCTAAGTAAAAGACTTTTCAGTGTCTCATACTCTGTCAGCCTGGAGAAGCTGGGAGGTGGCATGGACAGGACAGTTGACCTGAACTGGCCACAGGGATATCCCAGTACACAATCCTGGAGGGGAGTTGGCTGGAAGGGCTGACTGCTGCTCAGGGGTGCACTGAACAAGTGTGGTGAACAATTGCATTGAGCATCACCTGTTTCTCTTGAGTCTTATTTCTCTCTCTTTCCTTTTCGTTGCTATTACTATTTTTATGTTTTATTTTGTTTCAATTATTTAACAGTTCTACAAAGTTTTACTTTGTTTTGACTTCAGTTCTGCTCCCAGCTGGGGGGACGAGGGGGTTGTTTGGGTAAGTGGGTGTGTGGGGCTCAGTTGATGGCCGGGCTTAAACCATGACAGGTTGGAAGGACCAAGGGCAACCGTGTCCTCCTTCTAGAGGACTTGACTTGTGTGAATGCATGGGTTGATATAATGCTCAGTAGGCCCAGGTGGAAAACCTACAATGTGCCAAACAGAATGCAATATGTGTGTAAAAAGCACCTGGCTGCACAGGCACAGACAGGGTTTGCTGCTGCTGCTGCCACCACTGCTGGTGCTCAACTCAGTGGTAGCCCTTGTCCCCAGCCTCTCCTAATTCCTAGCAGGAATTCCTTTTCGAGTCCAGACAGAAGAGCATCCTTTATATTGCCATTCCTTTTCCCTCCCTGTGCCCAGCATAACAGCCAGACTGAATTGTGCCTGTCCCCTTCCTGGGGACTAACGAGCTCCCCTGCATCAGGATGGAAAATGAAGGGAAAGAGTGGGTTGCTGTCTGAAGGGAGGCTGCTCCACGGGTGGGAGCTGCTGCCCACATGGAGGGAACTTTTATGTGTGTGTGTGTGCAGGCTGCAGCCTCCCACAGGGACAGGAGGTGGGATGCTGCAATCTGTATTCAGTTCCTGCAGGCACCACTCCCAGGCTGCCTGTTTTAGGGGAAATATTTAGAATAACAAAAATAGTCCTGTCCTAAATTAAAGTCATAAAGGACTGATACTTCTGTGACTTAAAATCTGATGTTAGGTGGGATTCAGAGTTGTGAGAGAATGCTGGGTTGTATTCAGGGGCACCAGAGAAGAACCTGGCCTTTTATGCTGCTCATCCAATTCAGTAGTTGGTATATCCTGTGCTATATATATATATACTGTTGATATATGCTTTTACAAATAGTAAATTCCTGGACCTGTGCGACAGCAAGGCAAACAATAAAGGATGTAAGGAGCTAAAATATAGAAGAGGTGCCAGGATTACTCATCCTTCTCCCACTCTCTGTTGGTTATACTTTCCCTTAAAGGTAGAAGCCAATGGTAAATTTTAATGGCTTCTTCCTTCCTATTTTTAGATTTATAGGTAGAACAGACTAGCAAATATTTCTAAGTTTTAGTGCTCACAGAAAGTTCCAAATGAACAGTCCTTGAGAATAAACCCTGTAGCTCAGGCAGGATGTGTATAAGCTTCAGGCCTCTGTGATGTGGTTCAGATCTTTCTGCAGAGCACCAGTAAAAGTATAAATTAATGTTAACAGTTTTATGGTGTAGGCTCTTGCACCTTGAGAACTATGCTAAGATCATTTATTCACCTTATCTGATGTTCTTAATAGTTAAATGGACTGGGTTTTTTTCTTTTAGTGCTTACTAATCCCCTCAATCACTCAGTCCTTCAGCATCAAAAATGACTGTTTTCCTGCAGACTGATAGACTAATGCATTTATTATTCACCATATTCAAGCAAAATGTACAATCTTGATAGATGGTCATGTTTATGAGATTCTACATTTCCAGGTTACCAAACCACACTGTTTGTTTGATTCTCCCTTTCTGTATCACTCTGAAGTGCATGAGATGTGTTACTTTGTTCGTGCATGAAAAAATGCAAGGAGGGTTGGCTGCAGCTACTCAAACAATTCCATCTGAGTTTGTTTGCAGTCAGTGACTGCTATTTTGGGGAGGAAAACTGTTTTCACCTGAACTGAGGGAACATTTTGTGAGGAAAAAAAAATTTTCTATCAAACATTGACTGTTTAAAAAAAAATAAAAATTACTGGGAATTCTTTATATGAGCTTTCATATGACCTTTACTGAGGATGGTTGCTTTTATTGTCATTTCCTTCATCCTGTTGTGCTATACAAACCAAATTTACAGGTGGTGACCCACCTGCCCAGTCAGCATTAGAAATTCCTGGTGGGAAATGCTGTACTATCACATGGGGAAAATCTAATGATAACAAGGACTTGTATTCAAAGATAAAACAAGCCCACAAGTGTGTCAAACTGTGAGAGAGAAAGCATGGATAGCCACGGCAAAAACACAGTATTAGAAGCTCAGTTTAATCGCTTTGAATCATTTAAATGTATAGAGTTTGTTCGTGTGTCTGACCTTGTTGTGATTAATGCTCAGGTCTAGAACTACAAATAATATTCCCCTTTGCTCCACAGGAGGCTTCTTCAGCTTCAGTTTTGGAGGGCATGTGCTTGCCAGTGCATAATTTCTAAGGGGGTGTTGCTTGATCTAGTGCCTTAATCATGCTTCTGGCATTGGGGTCCATCTGCTATTCCGAGAGCATAGGAAAAGAGGCAGGAAGCCAGGTGTCATGTATTAAAGACCTTGTCTCACTTTGGATGACACCTCTGGAATGCAGCGTTTGGCACATTTCTTGCATCAGTAAAAGGGAAACAGGAGAACAGTGTGATCTTCCCATAGCTCATATTGCATCCTGACTTTTGGGAGGACAAACAATTGCTGAGCAGGTGAAGGTGTTAACAGCCCTGCAATTTTTTTTTCCTGTCAAGTGGTTTATTTCAAAATAAGGGAAGCAGTGAAAGTTACCAATTATGCTTATTGTTTGACAAGTACCTGAATCAGTTCCTGAGTCCCTGGAGATGACGTATACCTTTATAAGTGCATAATTTGAATACGGATTTGAAGAATTGCTTCTAGATTTACCAGACGGAAAACTAATTTGTTTGAGTTTATTCTTTCCTCTATAACTTAGGCTCTGGATGCCATATAATTTGTAATAATGAGTCCTTATAACTCTGATGCATTGAGTAAGTAAGCACACATTCATAACTGAGTTTACCTTTTCCACAGTACCCCAGTTCTTTGCACAATCTACACTAAATATGCTCAGATAAACATATGACAAAACCCACCACCCCCAAAGAAAAATAATCCTCCCTTATCCCCCGATCAACAGGTGTCTTTCTAGTGAAATTTTACTTACTGTTTGGCCATAGCCAGAAACAGTGGCCCTGCTTTGTTCAGGGGTAATGGAATAACTCGAAGGCAGTTCGAGTTATTCCATTAGAAAGTAAGGCGAAAATCCGTTTTCTACATCCCGGGAGCCAAATACATGCTGTACACCTTCTACGCTTAATGGTCTATCAGGAAGAATTTCCCAAAGGCAATTCAAATGGTGGAAAAAATTAGAGAGGGGGATAGACAGCAGTTTCCTTACCTAAGTTACAGCCTGCTGGATGTTTCACAGCCAGAAGCTTGGTACTACTGCGATGTATTGCAAACAGCTGGATATTGCTTTCTTTGAAAACTGCCTCTGTAATTAATTTTCCTTCCTAAACACATTTTGTTTAATCATTAAGGGACGAGTTCATTACTCATTTATCCAGATTGCTGAAGCAAAAAGATGGGGCAACTATGCAAAGCTTCAGGTAGCAATATAGTATTTTTTAAATGCCGTAAATCTAAGGAGACACTGTTTAGTCATGGTAGACAAAATTATTAAGGTCTAAAAGGCAACTCTCTCACTTCTATCTCAAATTATTTGTGCTGTTCCAAATACTCTCCAAAAGATATTTTAAGCTACGATGCCTCTATAAATAGTTAAAATGGAAAAAAATCTAAATCCAAAAATCCAACAGTTCTGTGTGATTAATTTTATAGTGCTTTTTCAAATAATGTCTTCTAGCTATCCAAGCACTTTTGAGTAAGAGCTGATGCTTCATTACAAGAATGTACTTTATCTGACTTGCATTTTCATGCTTCAACTTCTATAAAAGCTTACACATTTCTACAACTAAATTCTACGTAAATATTATAATGGCTTTCCATAAACATTTACTAGTTATTATATTCCAAGTACAGTATCTTTAATCAGTAATTTCATGTTGCTCTCTTCATTTGTTTTTCTGATTCTTCTAAGTTCAGTCAGGTGGTGGTGGGTTCACATTGGCTGGCTGGCAGATGCCCATCCAGCTGCTTTCTCATTGCTCCTCCTCAACAGGACAAGGGGCAAAAATGGGATGGAAAAGCCTGTGGCTTGAGTAAAGGACTGGAAGATCACTTACCAAATACCATCATGGGTAAAACAGACTTGACTTAGGGATAGTAGATAGAACTTATTGTCAATTAATATAGATCTGAATGGTGAGAAATAAAGATCAAAAAACCCCATAAAACACTTTCAGCGCACGTATTTTTCTTTCCAGTTCCTTCAGGGAACCTTCACCTACTCTGGTGTGGGGTCCTCCACAGGCTGCAGTGAGGATATATCAGCTCCAGTATCTGGAGCACCTCCTTCCTCTCCTTCTCTCACCTTGGGGCTGAAAGGGTTATTTTTTTCCCCCCTCACTCGGCACACACCAGGCAGGGTTTTGCTCTTTCTTAAGTACGTTTTGCCAGAGGTACAACCACCTTGGCTGATGTTCTCTGTCGTGTCTGGAGGTGAGCCTGTGGTGGAATGGGCTTTGTTCAGCCCTGGGCACTCCCTGGCACCTCCTCACAGAGGCATTTCCTGCAGCCCTCCCAATAACTAACTTGAGACAGACACCCAATATACAAATAATTAATTCAAAGTAAAGATAGGTAATGGTGCTTTGTACAGACATTTCTCCCATTTCCAATTTTCAAACTCTGACAACTCTATGCCAAAGTCTGAGTAACCATGCTGTCCTTTGGCAGTTGCCCATATATTGTTTGCCCCAACACAGACATAAAGTTATTTAAAAAAACCCTGATAACCCTTCTCCATTCTGTGAATATCTTCAGTCCAATAGTTATTCTATTTATTTCAGGAATGAGGGAAGGAGTAGAGAAGAGAGGTTCAAGCTGTTGCCACCCCTGCAGCCCTTCCCAGCCACTGACACCTTTTGCTGCCACACTCTTGGGTCAAAAATGTCACTGGCAGTCCTTATCTCAGGTGGACATAGAGAAAGAGAAGTGAAATGAATTCAGCAGCCATTCTTTGCACCAGTGCAGAGGATGTGTTAGCTTGGCATGGGGTGGTAGCTCCTGTAGTGGGTAACATAATAATTATTAATTAACATATTTTTAATACTTTTTTTTTGGTCAAGTACTGCTGAAATGTACTCAGTTTTCCACTGTTGTCTACAAGCATGGTTTTCCATTCCCCCACACTCGCTTTCCTAAAACTGACAGCAGGTTGATAAGAGACTCTGACCATTTTTACCTATTTGCACTCTTTCCCCTTCTTTTACAATTGCAGATACTTTATTTGGATTCCATGCTTTTGGGAAAGCTTCAAATTAGAAATAAATGGCAAAAATTCCCTCTGTATAATTACCCAGCCTTATTATAATTGCAAAATGCACAATAAGTGCAAGTTATTTAAAACCCTTGCTAGTTAGAGAATATAAAATGTGAAGTTGGAATCTGAAATTAAATTGAAAAATATGTAAGATCCAGTAAAATGCTGTTCTGTATATTTTATGTGACATGTATTTCTGTCAGGAAAAACAGACTGCCCTTTACTCCTCTTTTGCTTGTAGGACATATGATTCCACACTCTGGTGGTGTTATCTCTCAGTCTGCTTTGCTTGTTACTTCTCACAGTAATAATAACATATAGGATTGACATTAGAATAAAATTCCTTATTAAAAAAAAACACACTGAAGCTCTATGAGCCTGAACTCTGTTGAAATCAGTGGAAATACCAAGGGATAAAATTAGTTTGGGTGATATGCAGAGGAAACATTAATTATCAGGAAACCAATAGAAAATGTCTTTATCACTGAAGTTTTTTTCCAATATATTTTACAAGTGAACAGAGTGCCTTTCACAATCAGTATTGCAAAATACCAGATTTATATCTATTATGGATGAGTCAACAATGGAAATGAATGGATTATGCTTCAATTCTGTTTTGCCATAATCTTTCAACCTTACTTAAAAAGATTTGGACTCAGAATGGCTGTTCTTCGTTTTTACACGATTTAATCAAACAAGTAAATTGTGAGGAAATGCCTAAGAGTGAGACAGTCATATTTGGGTGATCACATACAACTCATTTGCATTTTGTAGTGACATGGTTATGCTACTTCAGTGCTAATCTTGGAATTTTTGTGTGCAGTTATGGAAATAAAAAAGAAATCCATTCATTTATTCTTTGAACATTTTCATTACTACTAGCAGTAATTTATCATTCAATGTCCTTAGATGTCACTAAGAATACATATTTGACAAGTTGTCAGTTTAACTAGAACCATGCAATTCATGTACCACTTCAGCCACTGTTGACTTTCTAGTTAAGCCACAGTTCTTTTCGTGTCTGCTTCTCTAAAAATCTGCAGATCAACTTCTTGGTCAAAAAACAGGTTTAGCCTTCAAAACACACAAGTCTTCACTGCTTTATACAGTTTTTCTTGAATCCAACCTCTAAAAAGGAACACTCACCTTGGGATAAAGATATAGGTGATCATATTTCTTAATATCATACCAATGTGTTTCAAGTCATTTTGTACATTTAAATTTTCCCAAAAGATTTTTTTATGTAAAATGATGATTTGTTGAAAATAAAACATTTCTAGGAAATATATAAATTTTGGCAGGTTTTGTTTTCAGATACTGTTTTGACATCGTTAAGGCAAAAGCATTCAATTTAACCATTTTCGAAATGAATTTTTTTTTTCTTGAAGAACAAATTGTTGGTAATTATTTTCATTCAACAACAGTTTTAAAATGCTCTAGTAGACTTTGTGAAGTTGAATCCCAATGAATATTTAGTGTTTATTTGTTTTTTTTTGAGAAGTGTAACATCAGAATTAAGCACTGTATTAATTTCATTCTTGTTTTTTAATAACCTGGTTTTAATTTTGTTTTTCTTCTGAGTGGAGAATAAACATCCCAAAGTCCAATATTTGTCAAACAGATAATTGGATTCCAAGGTGTAGTGTGTGCCTCTTGGTTAAATTTCACTTTTATGAAGACAACTGACTGACAACAACTCCTAATTGGAGGATTCTGCAAGGGTGTGGATGGTATCTGTGAAGGGCAAGAATTTTGACCTTTGTGGAAAGCACTCGTGCGTGTTACTTCATGGTTCAACAGGACAAAACAAAAGTGAGGGCCAATGGGAATAAGAGTGTACTGAAGACCAAGAAAAACACTGTCCAAAGCACGTTGAGTAATTTTCTAACCAAAAGCTCCCCACACAGTCAGGGACGTCGCTTGTTTTATGTAGAGCTGAGCACTTGTTCGCTAAATGCCACTTGATTACTAAATGCTGTGGACAAATTAGTAGCATTTTTGAGAGAAGAAAATAATTAGGGTGACTGGTAGCCATAACACAGCTTTTCTGCACACTCACACGCCTCATCATCTCCTTGCGTCCTGATGTGCTACACGAGCCTCTGCACCTTCAGTTCATTCTTTTGAAGGGTCCAGCTCCTCCTTTCACGTCTTTAATTCCAACATAAGCGAACTTTCCATCTGTGAGGATTAAGATATGACAGATTTGCAGTTTTTTATGCAGATGACAAAAGCTGATGTCTGGTGGGGAAATTCCGTGTGGTCCTTTCGCTGGGCGTGGGGATCGAGTCCCGTGGGATTCGTTTAATTCAGAGGTGAGATACTGACTAAGAGAGATTAAATCTTCTGGAAGATTTCGGTTGCTAAGTTATTTTAAGCATAGGGGTTCCTTCTTTTCCAGTAGGAAAAGTGCATGATAGCTAATTAGGCCCTTAGGGATCAATTTTCAAAACAGTGTGCAGGAAGTGTGAGCACAAACCTTATTTGTTAATGGGTTTTGTGAACATCCCTCCTGCGATTTTTTTTTTAAAATTTAGAACAACAAAACAGCAACCTTATTGGAGAAGCACATTTAAATACATAGAATATGATATCTTTTTCTTCAGGGCTTTAGATAGATGACATACATTAAGACCACAGAGTTTTTCTGTGGTTATTATGCTCTACTTCCTCAAACCTGTAAATGTAATGAAATAATAAAATAATCTCTGTGGGCCTGCAGAAGAAATCAATCTCATGGTTCTTACCTATCTCCTCTTTACTTAAAGGAGGAAAAGCAACAAAACACTAATCCCTAATTTTTGTGATGATAAAACTATTAAAAAATAAAACAAACATTGTGAAATGTAAAGATTATGAAAGGTGTTTAGAATGAAATAACAGAAAGCATACAGAAAGATTCCATAGTAACATTGGATCAAATTCTCCATTTAAACCGTCTGGAAAAGGTTCCTTTTCATTGCATAGGAAAACACAGGAACTGCATGTTATTTTTTTAATAATATTAAATAGGAGGGGGGAAATGTGATTCAAGAAATACGTGGATATTAAAGTATGCTAATGGAAGTG